GCTCACTTGCACGCGGCGCCAGCGGCCCCTACTGCCAAGGACCAAACCTGGCGCTGGCGGTGGCCGCTTGCTCCTTCGGAGAGAGGAGTCCGGCCATGACACCACCTGCAAAACAACAAATACGCAGCATTAGCACTTGGCAGAATACAAAAACAGACGAACTCGGCGAAAACAGTACGAACACAAACGCGCGCCGAACAAACTCACTCATAAAAGGCCCGGGGCAGGCCGCTTAATGAGCGCCTTGGGCAGAAGCCTCCGCCCCGTCATGCGGCGAAGGCCCAGAAGGCTGGCTGCTCCCAGCCAACGGCCTGGCAGGCGGAGGGCTCGGAGAGGCCCGGACCGTCGAGGCATGCTCAGCAAGCAGGGCCTCCGGTTGCCCGACGCCGACCCCTGGCCCGGGGGGAGACGAAGTTACGGGCGGAGGCGAAGAAGCGCGTGGCGGGACAGCCTCCGTGCCCTCTTCAGAACTTGAGCACAGCCCGCCGAGAATATCGGGCATAGGGTTGGCGGCGCTGGCTTCTGGCTGTTCGGCGTCGCTCGCAGCACCCTGCGGGGAGCATGCTGGTGCAACGTCGGTTTTTGGTAGCCCTGCACCCCCTGCGGCGCCGTGCAACGAGCTCGGCGGGACGGCTACAGCCCCGCTACCTCCGTCGCTCGCCAACCGCGCGTCCCTTGGGGCCGAAGAACTTTGGGCATCTTAACTGCCGGCCGAAGAAGCACCCGCGCTGTCGGCCGAAGACGCGGCTTGCGCGATCACCAGAGCACTGGATTTCTTCTTTTTTGCAGGCGCCTGGGCAACAGCAGCGCCCTTCCTCTTCTTGGACTCAGCCTCCACCGTAACATTAGCATTCTTCGTGGAGGTCTTCTTCTTCTTGTCAATTGAGGCAATAACCTCCGCGGGAACCTCACGCTCCCGGAAGACGATCCTGAGCTCCTCAAAAACTCGATTGAGCCACGGCATGATGCTGGACACGGCTCTCCGAGACATGTACTCACGCTCTGAAATTTTGCTGACCAACCCGATAGCAGCTTCCTCAACCTCGGAGACGAAACTGTCCTCCGTTACACCCTCGCCCAAAGACTGGCCGAAGCGGGGGAACGGAATCCCAGCCTCCGGCCCAAAAACGGGAATCTTCACCATTTCAAGCCTAAAGGGTGGATTGTCTCCTTTAAGGGGCCAATAGTCGGAGGCCATGATCTCCTCCACCAGATCGCGGCCCCCGGAGTAGCGGCACGCCAACACGAAGGCCCGGTCACAGGCCTCCCTCGCCGGAGATACCGCCTCCGGCGGCTCCACGCGCGTATGCGGCGCCATAGCCTCCATCCTTGAAGTCAGTGGGTACTCCACGACCTCCACGCCATCGTCGGTGGTGCCGTGAACCCTGTAGGTCTTCACGTAAAACCACCCCTCGAGCCAGCCACGGTCCCATTTGCCCTTCTGGCAAAAAGAAATCTCCAGGCGATCTACGCCTTGGTTCCTCTTCGCCATGAAGGTACAACTACCATACTGGCAGACCACCTCCACCTCCTTGCCGTCCCGCATCTCTTTCCTCTTCTTCGGTTGTTTCTGCAGCTCGTAGTAGGTGCAGAAGGTGTCCACATCCGGCTCGACGCCATAAGAAGCACACGCCCAGCAGAATTTGCTGAGCGTAAGGAAGGCCGTAGGGGTCAGATGGTGGAGCTGGACATTGAAGGTCTCCAACACCCGACGGAGGAAGGGACCGTAAGGAAGGCGGAGGCCGCAGACGAAGAAGTCCCGAAACACCACCGCATATCCCTCCTCCGGCTCCGGAACAGTCTGGCCAGACGGAGGGATCCTTACCCTAGAAGGTGGAAAATACGACTCCTTCGACATCTCCGTGACCACCTCTTCAGTAATGGAGGAGGGGCCAAAGTCCCATGACTTTATCGCCATGTCTCCAGAATCCGCAGCGATCAGGTCTCCGACGAACGTAGAGACACTCCCCAAATCTTCCTCCAGCAGATTCTCAAAATCCAACACGGACGCGAAGGCAAGCATGCACTCCTCGAAACGTGCACCCCAGCCGCCTGCCCTAACACCAAGAAGGTGGCGATAGGGACCGAAGATGGCGGGCCGGCGAGTATGGGCGAAGGTGGAAGAGAGAGCCACCACGACTGCAACCACGGAGGAATGCGCAAGCGGAAAGAAGGAACACGCGGATGCGACTCAGGCGTGAGCAAAGAAAGCAGAGAGCGGTGTCCGGCGCTGCAAGGCAAGCAAACGAGTCGTGTGGGGGGGGGACCCCGCCACCAACCTTGCCCTTATATAGGCCACGGGCCGGTGGCTCAGCTCCCGCCGAACAACGGTCATCTCCAGTCAGCCCGACTGGCGGCAACGGTCTTCTCCGGATAGTTCGCCTGAAGCCCAACGGTCATCTCCGGATAAAATGCAAGGTGCGCAACGGCTAGGTTTAAACGGCCACTTCGACAAGACCAACGGCCGCGCCAGAACGGGTCAGGGGGGAACCGGCGGGGATCGGTCGAAGACATGACTGCGCGTAGTCACCAACGCCAACCGGCGGGGATCGGTCGAAGACGTGACTGCGCGTAGTCTTCGCCCCCATGGACGTCCTTGTTTAGGGCGTTTTTTGAGCTCACGACACGCTCAGGCGGACCGTGGTCTCAAAAGGGGGGAACTGTTGTAACATGGCCGCCACAGGTGGCGGAGACCCGCGCAGTCCGTAGGATACGAGGGCACCTCCGGCCAGGAGGGCGAAGGCCGCCTCACCTCCAAACTAATTAAACAACGATCTTGCCTAATTGTGTGCAGGTACTCAAGCGCGGGCGCCCGGGGACCGCGCGGCCGGGCGGAGGCCTGCGGATGATGCCTCCGACCGGACCGGCGGAGACCCGCCAGGGCGACGGCGCGCCCCTGAAGGCGGAGGCCAGCGTAGACAGCCATGGCCCCCGCGCGGCCGGGCGGAGACCCGCGGGAGATGTCTCCGACCGGCCGGCGGAGAACCGCCGAGATAGCGTGGCGCCCCTGGAGATGGGGGCCAGCACCGGGGACCCAGGCCTTTGGGCCGAAGACCGAAGCATGGTGGGTCGACTGCTCATGGAGGCCCATTACTCGGAGACGGTATGGCAGGATTGCCCCGCAAACGAGAGGCTAGCGGCGGAATATTCCAGGAATATACTGTAGCAGTTGAGAGGCATTGTAATAAATTCTGTCATGAAGTAGTTGAGCTCTATAAATAGGGAACACTTGTAACCGTGCAAGGGGTGGTTGGAAAATGCATTAATGAAACCCTAGCTTTCCGTGCCCTTTCCCTTACACGCCCAGCGATCGTTCCTGTTAACCGAGCCTCCGCCTGAGGATAGCCGTCCACGGGCGGAGGCCCCCAGTTACCTGTCTGAAACCGTAAGTTTCAACAGAAGTAGAATACAAACCTCAATTCATTTGGCTAGAAATTCAATCAAGACTGTAAACACGTGGAAGTAGATAGATTCTTGTGTTGCTCTTTTGCTTTTGAATTTAGAATGTTGAAATAAATCCTAAATTCGAAGGTGTATTAGTTGACACTAATCTAATGTCATAGATCCCTTTTTCGGCATTGATTCATACTTATCGTGTGTTGTTTGGGGGTCATTGTCTGGCGGCAGCCGCTTGTGTTGTTTGGGGCACCCCCAGCTGTAGGTGCATCTTGGTGGTTCCGGTGGCGAACCTAGTTTGGGGCACTCGCTGCTGTAGGTGCACCTTCGTTGTGGCCACCGGCGAGAGCGGCGAGCTCTAACAGCAAAACCAAAACTTCCTGATGAAACAAGGCATACGTGTGCGTTCCTACTAGCTAGCTATTTACCTGTGACTGGGTGCCAAAATTGATCAACCCAAGGAGCAGCATTTCGATTGTAAACTTATCAGCAATTTTAGCAAAAGTGCCATATTTTGTGCCTGGAGATTTAAAATACCAAGGCCACCTTCATCCTTTGGTCGACAGGCTGCAGTCCAAGCAACTAGGCACTTGCCTTGTCTATGCAGATCCTTACCATCCCAAAGACAAATTTTCCTAAAACTGTCAATTTGTTTGATAACGGTCTTTGGGAATGGTGCTGAGCCAGTACATGGGCGGAGATGAAAGAAGAGAATTAACCAATATCAATCTTCCATGGTGGGACAGCAAGCTGGAGATGCCGGCCATTCTTCTTTCAATTCTGCACACTAGCGGTAGAAAATCAACAACAGCTGGACGTGTGGTACCAAGGGGAAGACCCAAGTAGGTGAAAGAAGAAGTTGACCAACAATGCAACCAAAAGTGGAGGCTAGATGTTGTGCTCTCTCTTCTGTAAACACGTGGAAGTAGATATATTCTTGTGTTGCTCTTTTGCTTTTAAATTTCGAATATTGAAATAAATCCTGAATTCGAAGGTGTATTAGTTGACACTAGTCTAATGTCATAGATCCTTTCTCGGCATTGATTCATATATAGTTGTGGTAAGGGACAAACGTGCTTACCGTGTGTTGTTTGGGGTCATAGAGTCTGGCGGCAGCGGCGGGTGTTGTTTGGGGCACTCCCAGCTGTAGGTGCACCTTGGTTGTTCCGGTGGCGAACATAGTTTGGGGCACTCCCAGCTGTAGGTGCACCTTCATTGTGGCAACCAGCGAGAGCGGGCGCGCGAGCTTAAAACTTCCTGATGAAACGAGGCATTCGCGTGCGTTCCTACTATTTACCTGTGACTTGGTGCCAAATGAAGTGAGCGTTTTGCATGGCATATCGTCGCGTAAGGAATGACGTAAGGAATCGTCGCGTACCCGGCCGTACGTCTATATATACACTTGTCGTAGAGGCATCTGAATACCTACGACGACGTACGTCGACACGACTGTCTCACACTGAGCTCATCAGCTAGAGCTTCTGGGCCCGCAAGATGACCGTTGTTGAACCTCCTCCTCCCGTTGAAATGGTCCTCCCACCGGGAACGTTGGATCTGCTCCTCCCGCCGAGAAGAGGTGGAAGTGGCCGGAGGTGTTGGGCTGGATGGCGACGCCGGCGGTGCAGAAGATCGCCCACGAGAGGCCCGACGTGGCCGTGGAGGTGCTCCCGCAGGGGACGCGGATCGAACCGGATGGCTTCAACTCCGCGCGCGTCCGCGTCCACATCGACAACAGCGGCTATGTCTCCCAGATCCCCGAGATCGGCTAGCTGCTACGGCTGGCTAGCCAGGCAACAGGCCCAGCTGGTCCTCTAATTTGTTTGGTGTCGTCGTGTGTCCTCGTCGTCGTCGTCGTCGTCTGCTCATCAGTCATCACCAGATGCACAATGCACTGGTGGAGCCGCGATCGAGCTGCACGTGTGTGTGTGGCGTGTAATAATGGAATAAATACCTGCTGCGTCTTCTAGCTGTTGCCCTGTACGTGTGTGTGTGGCGTGTAATAATTTAATAATGGAATAAATTGTTCGCAATATAAGTTGAAGCTCCAAAGTTTAAGCAGCCTAGAATTTTTTTTATCCTTTTGTTTGAAAAGAAATTGATGATGATGGGTCATGCAATCATAGCTGCAACTTATTAATCTGAATGGCCTCTGCATGTTTACCTCATCTAAGGTAGCTGTTATTACCTGATGTCTGTGCTCAATCGAACTCAATAGATTTGATGAATGTAGCTAAATCTGAAAGTCCCCGATATATAGTCTGCTAGATATATATATAGATAGACATACCTGTGCCTAGGAATCTGAATCTCAATATACCCTGCATAGGCTCTAAATTTGACTGATGGAATGATGCATGATTAACAGTCTAATATATATATGTATAGGTGTGTTGACACAAAAATGTGGCAATATGATCAATACACAGCAAGCCGGAAGATCTGAATGGAACGAGACTAGAGATCTGCTTGGCTTCAACACAGAACCAGCCGATTCTGAAAACCCAACGACGTGCCAGTCAATTTGACATGCAATTGACAAGGAGAGAAAATCTTATCAGTAATTTAAGGTGGAACATGTCGGTGTTGCACCAAACAGTTCCAAATATATGGCTAGATAGCCGATTCAATGAGGCTATTGACAAAATAGTCGATATCCAGCGTATCCATGAAACGAAGATCTTAAAATCAAGGATTACCGGCTAATATTAAATGATAATGATACGAATCAAAATAACCGATGCTCATGAAACATTAGAAAGCATCATCGGCTAAATGAAACATGATCGATATAAAGTGTCGAGCCAATAAATTTGATGAAAAGAGTATAACATGCGAATAAATCGACTGTCTAATATAAATAAATCTACAAACAGTTTTGAGTCTAATCTATTATGATCAACACTGAGGTTCGATCAGATCGATGCAACTATGATAATGATAATAAACTAAAACCAAAGAATCTATAAAACCATCTATATATTGACAGATTCATGAAAACATGCTATATGCTCGAGGGTATAGGCAAATCGGCTAAAATAGCCGATGCAGTCATAGCAAACAAACAAAGTACATATCTTGATCATGAACAAGACCACATAATTTTTAATCTGAAGTCTTACCAGTGAGGTTCGACCGAATCGATACAGCTATGGTAGTGTCATTAGATTAGATCTCATTAACTAGTGAGTTTATTCAAGATTGAAACATGTCTTTGGATGCATACTATGTTTGACTAGAATAGAGATGAAACAACCGATCTAGCGGAATTAAGCCATCAATTATAAGATTTGAAGCATGACCAGATCCAAGGACGACCAATTAAGATGATATAATGCCGATCTATCTCTATCTCAATCGGGTGATTTTGTTATAATTAATAAAACATTAATTATAGCAAGATCGGTAACTGGTGAATAAAAAAAACAGTAAGGAAAATCTTAAAAATCTTAGCAGATTCGATAACCGGTGATATTGTATTAAACAACAAGTTATTTAACACAAAATCAATAACTCGTAAGAGATGAATCAGCTGATGCAGCCTTTCAAACTACAATACAGATCGATAACTAACTTATATTATGGCTCATAAAAGATTAATCAGCTGATGCAGCTTTACAAGCATAATACAAGTCGTGATGGTACTCACAAGTAAGCTGGAGGTCGATCAGTCGATGCAGCCCTGTTTGCTGAAGAACTCGCCGAGATCTACAGTACTCCTACTCCTAATGCGATGGCGAAAGTCGGAAAGATTGTATTGATTGAATGTTGGTGTCTTTTTTACAATAATCAGGGTCTAATATTTATACCCGAAACCTAAACATGAATCCTACTCAAATACGACTCATTACAATCATTGGAATAAAAGAAAACTTCCTAACTTAATAATAACCTGGACCCCACTTTAACTTATTTATAGAGTCCGACACGTCTTCTTGGCGCCACTCAAGTATAGCCCATTAACGCCGCGTCATCCATAAAATAGCCGATTCTGATATCACATCTAAATCAGCTGATACCGATTCACATCTAATCGATTCCTTAATGATATAATCCTGAAAGCTTCCGGTTCCTGCGTTCCTCTTTCCAAATTTTGGTGTTAACAAGGCACAATTACATAGGTGTTAACTTGATGTTTTGTTAACATATCCATTTTGAACATGGGATGCCTGCATTTTGTTCTCTCATACCAGTTGGAGAATTCTTTGTTGCAATGGTGTACAAATGTTTGGTACCTTGATGTATCAATTAAACGATATTATCATGCCTGAGTGCCTGACCCATATAAAAAACTATATTCCATTGCTTTAGGAGTTACTTTATCTCCTAGCCTATACTGCTGTATAATCTGTCCAAGAGACTCAGAAATTCTCGTTACGTTTATTATTCTCCAACAGTTCTTATCATGCATCTAAGATTTTCTGACTATTATTTTTTTATAGAATAGGGGTTGAAACCCTTACTTGAAATTTTATTGAATTTTAGAACAAAAAGGGATACAAAGTTGAACTCATCAGACAAAGAAGGTCAGAAAGAAAATAAGGAAAATTACACAAATGCTTCTAGCCATAAGTCAATCCTAGGATGATAAGCTGTCTTTGCCAGTTGCGTACAAGAGCAAATTATCTCTTGAAGACCGATTTACAACGTTGAACTGAATGAGGGATACCTTTGAAGATTATCATTGCACATTATCCAAATTGACCAGCACATTGTAATGATAGTTTATATGAAGAAAGGTAAGCTAAGCTGTTATTTGAGGCTTTCAACGATCAAGCAAGGATCAGTAGAGTTGGGCAACACCAGCTGTAGGATGGACCAGCATGCCCACGAGAAAGGGCAATGGAACAGAAGGTGAGCGAGGTCCTCTTCCACATTACAATGGCAAAGGACACAGTTATAGTCTAGCAAGTGCATATTCCTTCGCCGAAGGAGAGCTCTGGTGCTGAGCCGGTCCTTCAACACAAGCCAAAAAAAGAATTTTCCTCTTGTTCCGACAAGCTGAGCGCCACAACCATTTAAACACAATGTGAACTTGTCTATGATAAATACTCCCTTCATACTGGTAATTCAGGTCATTTTGGACAGGATTTAGCATAACAAGGAGCGATTAATTAGGGTGTATTTTTTCCTATTTGTACTTATTAAATAGGGTTGCGGATATCTTTCATGCAACAAGCACACAGACCAAGTGGTTGGCGCAGCGAGGCCCAAGCCAATAGAGCAAGGTTCGATGCCTCGCGGCCTAGTAACTTTTGCGTGGCACTTGCGTTCGCGCGGATGGCTCGGCACGATTTTTCCTGCGGCGTCGCGGAGGGAGCGGCAAACGAAGAGGCGTGGATTTATTGCTCGTGGCTAATGAGCGCGATAGGAAACAAAGAGCCCCAGGGGCATTCGCGTCCAAACGGTGTTGAAAGTAAGGATGGAAACGGTCGAAAAACTTCTAAATTGTTTTCTACTTTTATATTTGAAATACGAAAGCGAAAACAGTAAAACCGGACAGGAAAACGAACGCGAACTTATGAATTATCGAAAATTTCGAAAACGAACCAATTCGAGCGGATTTATGTCGAACACGGTCGATATACGAAAACTCAATACGAAATACCGACCCGTAGACCAAGTGCATACATGATCAAGTTCAAGTGCATATAATAATTAACAAGTGCATATTATAGAAACATGATCTCGAACTGAGTCAGAATAATTTTATTAATCTTTTTAGAATAGATGTAGTATTTTATTTTAAAGATTTATTCAGATTTTTCTTTTGAGTAACAAAGATTTATTCGGCTGATGCAAAAACTATCAAATGATTGACTTTGCAGGTGGGGGTTAAACCGATGAGCTTGATGGGCTATGGCCCAGGTGGACTTTCGTGTAGATGCTGCTGGTTTCCTGACATTTAGCACCATCTTATGAGGTGAAGAGAGATGAGGCTGGGCGCCGTCTATAAGAGAGGGCAGCTGGCCACCAGTAGAAAGAACGCAGCTGAGTGGTGAACAACCTGTAATTGGGCTGTATGACCTGTGCAGTTGGCCAAAATCGGTTTAAACCGAATTTTCAATTCGGAATATTTCAAATTAAAAGTAGAAAAGTAGAAAAGTAGAAAATGGTCGAAAAATGTCTAAACCGTTTTCTACTTTTACATTTGAAATACGAAACATCTGAAATGCGAAAACGAAAACGGTAAAGTCGGACAAGAAAATGCGGATTCGGATTAAATATAGAAAACGATGCGGCACCTGTTGGCATAGTGCCCATAGAGATGACACTTGAAGCACTTGATGTGACCTTTTGTCACGCTTCCCCACGCCATCTTTTCTAGCGTCTCCATGACTGCCGTGGCCACAACTACCATCACTGTGGCCACGACCCCAGCCACAGCCACCGCCATCCTGTGAAATTCTTCCCGGACGCTTCCCCAGTCGCCCGCTTCTACCGAGCCTCCCACTTAGCCTGCGTCAGTAACACCAGACCGGTGTCAGACTTCGCCGTGGCACCCACTTCCCGCCTGGTGCGCTCTTCATGCGCCTTCAGTCGGCCAACCGCCTCCTCGAACGCTAGCTTCTTGAGGTCATGGAACTGCTCAATCCCCGCCACCACATTGATGAACCACTTTGGCACTGTGTAAAACATCTTCTTCACAAGTGCTGCATCATCGAGCGATCCACCAAGGCTGCCATACTGGACTGACATTACCTGATGGCGAGATAAAAAATATGCCTACCCTAGCACTGTCGAGGTTGAGAGACCCGTCGAAGTACATGGT